TCAAGCACTCTTTTTTATTTTTTCTTTCTGGACCTGAGGACCAAACCCAGAGCCTTGTGCTTGCTAGGCAAATGCTCTACCAATAAGATAAATTCCCAATCCCAGTGAGTGAAACTTGGTTTTTGTTGTTGTAACTTTGTTGTTTGTTTGTTTTTTTTCATTTGTTTTGTTTATTTGAGACAGGATTGCTCTGAATTTTTTGGAGCCTGTCCTGGAACTCACTGTGTAGACCAGGCTGAACTCGAGTGCTTCTGAGTGCTGAGATTAAAGGCATGTACCATCAACACCCTGCTAGACAGAGAGAGGGAGAAGAAGAGGGTAGAGGAGGATATGAAGAAGTAGGAAAGTTGATTTGGGGGAAGAATAGAGAGCAAGATGAGAGATACCATAATAGAGGGAATCATTATAGATTTGAGGAGAGGTCTTGCATGAGTGAGATTTCCAGAGATCTACAAGGATGACACCAACTGGCAATCTAAGCAATACCCTCCCCCAATAATGAGATTGATGACTACCTTCTATGCCATCCTAAAGCCTTCATCCAGTGGTTGAAGGAAACAGAGATAGATACTCACAGCTAAATACTGAAAAGAACTCCTGGAACCCAGTAGCAGAAAGGGAGGAAAGATGAGCAAAGACATTAGGGCCTGGTTGGTAAGACTTACAGAAACATCTGACCTCTGAACAAGGGGGAGCACATGGACCCCAAACTGATGGCTGAGAGGTCAGCATGGGACTGATCCAGACCCCCTACATTTTGGTGTAATTGAGGAGGCCTCGGCAATCTATGGGACCTCGGGTAGTAGATCAGTATTTATCCTTGGCATTCTACATGGAGGAATGATCTCTCAGCCTGGACATTAGGGGGAGAGGGAGCTAGATGATATGACATACTTTGTATATACCACATGGAGAGCATCCCCCTCCCTGGGAAGTCAAGTGGGGATTGGGTAGGGAGATTGGGTGGTGGGAGGGGACCAGAGAAAGAGGGGGAGGGAGAGGGAGCTGGAATTGACACATGAAGCAAGCTTGTTTCTAATTTAAATAAAAATAGAGACAGGAAAACCAAAACATAACAAAACCTCAACTTAAATATGTCTTTATATTTTCTACAAACTTCAAGGTTTTCTAGCATGAGCCTCTATTCTAACAGGTATAAGTAAGTTAATTTTTCACTCCCTAAGATCTCCCTGAGTCTCATAGAAATAATGTTTCCTTAGTGGGATGTCTGTATCTTACTCATGAACCTGGGTTTCTAGGGGAGATGTTTTGGGTTCTAGTTTCATTCTCATATAGTTAAGGTAGGGCATTATAACACCAGTTTTGCCTAAGTGTGAAGGATGAATGAATTTGACTCCATGCATAACAATGTTCTTTTTTATTCACATGAAAGCCATTTATTTCTCCTTTCAGTTAATTGTCATCTGCCATCTCTGAAGATTGACAATTTTCAGTCTGTTTCAGGGGTATCAGAAATATTCTATGCCCTTGGGCCCCTAAAGCTCCAAATCTTCATGATAGGTAAATCTTATAATAATTTTCCTCTGAAGTGTGGAAGTTAGTTCATGGTATATCAAGTTTAGTGACCAAATATGTCTCTGAATTCATATTTTACAAAATCTGTTTGGATTTCCACAAGCTTCTCTCTTTTCAACTCTGCATAGCTGCTCCTCCAAAAATAAAGCTGCTAATTGTAGGAGAAACCCCTAAGACTCATGAAGCTGAGTTTTATAATAGGAATGTACAAAACTCAAGATTCCCCCAAACACAGAGGTCTCATGAGGCTTCTCCATAAGTTCACAAAATCTGGAAACTATCTATGGGACAGGGACTTAAGATTTGCTGGACTTCTATAGTTTTCAGGGATGTCCAGGGACAGGGTGTGGCTGCCATGATTCCTCACTAATGCAGGTATGAGCTTCTCAGTAATTTTCAGAGATAGGCAGGTGTGTGTGTGTGTGTGTGTGTGTGTGTGTGCACGTGCGCACGTGTGCACGCGCACATCTGCTTGAGTATATGTGCACCAAATGTGTGTAGGTACCTACAGGAACCAGAGGAACTCCAGTTATGTTGTGATGCTAGGGACTGAAGCTGGGTATACTCCAAGTCCTGTATGTTCTAATAAACAATTTCTCTAGTCACTTTTCTGTAATTTTAATGTTAAAGGTTTATTTATTAGTTGAAGAGTGAGGATTCAATGCGCATCAATATCCAAATAAAATCTAATACTGTAAATAAAGTGAATCATGTGATTAATATAAGTCACATACACATAAAGCTCTCCTAAACTGTCCAACTATGTAGGACATTAAATTTTATATAAATAAACATAAGTGGATATTTGACAAACTTGTGTCTGTAGTTCATCTTTAACATTGTGTTCAACTTGGGTACAGTTTACCCAAAGGGTTACTGAAAGAATCAAATAAACAAGCAAAGAAAATCATGAAAACTTCCCCCAGTTGGGTATCTTTCCAAATGTGGAAAGGGGCATTCACGAGATTTCACATATTTTCTCTGAGTTTTAACAGCCACAAAGATCCAAAATTAGTTCCAGTATTTTCTATTGTTACTTATTAATTTAAGAAGAATAAACCAAGGAGCATAAAGGATATTTTACATACTTAATAATCTTATTATATATAACTTAAATAAGTAGGCATTTCTGTGAATACTCTATCATTGCTGTTGTTAATTATAAAGAGCTAGAATTGCTATTGGCTAAGTTAAAAGAACAAATGCAGCATTCACCTGCAGCTGTGCTGGGGGGAATGGCAGTTCAGGAATGCCCACACAGAGCATTCACAACTCTTTTCTCTCATGAGAATTCTATCTCTGGTTTACATTCTCTCATCACTTACATAATGGGTATAAATAGCTTGTGTATTGAAGAACTTTGGAGTTGAATGATCTTTTTGAAGTTTTTGTTGCATGTCTTTTTCTGCTTTTTAATGAGCTGTTTTAATCTCCTTTCTTTATAAAGAAAAGCATAGGACTTTGGGTTTCTAAACACAAAGGAACCATGTTAGGCCATTCCTCATGAAGGTGGTGCTGTTTGGTGCATTTAGATTTGGTTTCCCAAATTCAAAGAATGTTTTTTATATTCTTAACAGAAACCTAAAGTCACACAATTTATCATTCTGCTTTGCCTACTTAGCAGTTCTCTGCTTCTCCTGTTCTTTCAGGGCTTATCAATGTTTCAGAGACATGTGCTAATATATCCTTACTTTTTCTGCTCCCCTTAGTTTAATGCTAGTTGTTTCCAAAATCATGTCCTCAGTAGAGGACATAGTCCCCTTTGCAGATGTGTGTGGTGATTCCCAGAGATTCAAGACTCACACTGCACACCAGCCTTCCATTCCCACTCTTCATAGGCAGAGCCTGTGGCCTACGATGGTATATGTATTGGATAGCAAGCCACTTTCACCAGCAGTGCTCTTGGCCACAGAGCCAGCTCACATCTCTGTTGTCAGTATCACATTCATACCATCTGGAGGAAAGAAATTAGCTCTGTTTGACCACAATGTCTAAACTCACTTGTAAGAATGCAGGAGGCCAATTGCCACATCACAATGGTTCATTGTCAGTACTTTCTCTTCTATTGTACACGCAATTCCTTTAAAATGAAATCTGGCAAAAGCTAAACATCATTTAAATAAGTTAAGTATTTAAGAGTAATTCAGGAGATCAGGAAAAATACATGAAAATTAACATTAAATTTCACCATTTCAAGAGTCTCTGAATCCTATTTAGCGGCTATTCATTTTAAAGTGTCAGAAACTGTGAAACCATCAAGGAAGTCTTCATTTTTTCTCTTCTGGCCTACAAAAAGCAAGGAGACTGAAAGAACACAGATAAGAACAGAAGAAAACAATCTAGTTATAGCCACAGAACAATGACAAATTCCTTCCAAATCACAAGAGACAAGAACATTTAAAAGATTGATAACTCTCAATGTAATATAAATCATATTTCCTATCTATCAACCTGGACCTATCTATATTGTTCCTGGAGGAAGTATCCATTTTTGATTTTTGACAAGCTGTTGCTCATAGCAACAAGTCATTGATATATTTTCTTTGATTATAACTAAAGAGTAATATCCATTCTTTTTACATGGGTGTAAAGCATAATTTGAAGCTCATTAAAAGTGTAGCAGGTGTTCACATATAAAGTGCAAAAAATTCTCTATAACTGAGCTGTCAGGGCTCTAAAAGCCTAATTTATTTTGCATAACCTTTTTGCTAATAGACATGATTATAATAGAGAGAAGAGGAATGAAAACAACGTATGGAAGGAATTAAAAGGACTTAGACTTTTGATTTGACCTTGATTCCCACCCTTGATAACATTACAATCTCACTGTAATTACAGTTTTGACATACCACAAAATATTTGGTACCAGGAGATAGTAGTTCTAAAGATATTTTACTTTGGATATATCTCTTCAAAGTAGAAAATTAGTAGGTGCATTAGCTGGGACAGACTCAGTTTAAATTCCTGACAAAGTGGGAGAAGGGGTGAATGTTCAATCAGACCTCCCTTTCCCTATCCTTTCTTCATATGCAGGCCTATGATTCTGTAGAGAGGAAATTCTTCACACACACTCAAAAGTGACTAAATGTCTCACTTTCTATGTGGACTCAAATTTGCTAAATGGTGAGAAAGAGATCAAAACACATAAGATGTAGAGTCAGGACTGAAAGCCGAAGTTGCATTGTCAAGACAATCAAACTTTATGAACAGCACACAGACTCCCTTCACCTACAAATTCTCCTAGAAGCTGCCATACTTCAATTTCTTTCTAGAGAAATAATAATATTATGTACTGAAAAATCTCAAACTACAAAATCTACTCTCTGGAGTAGATATATATTGCTCTGCATTTATCAGAGACTGAGAGCATGAATATATCTTCACTTTTGAAAACTTGATGTCTAGCATGTTGAGTAAGAAATTGTATTAAACCATTCATTTCTTTTACTTTTTGTCACTTTCAGTGATAAGATCAATGCATCACTTCCCATTGGTCCTTCAGTGGTTTTATCTGTGAGTCCATGGCAATGCTGCTGATAAGATTCCATGGAAATAAAATGTGTCTTGTACAAATAATATACATAATGGCAGTATGGCTTGGGAGATTGAAGTATAGAAGACACAGCAATCTCACAAAGGTATGTTGACTTTAATAGCTCTAGAATTACATTGAGAAATGGGCTATCAAATATGTCAAGTTTAAGGCTGGAGAAATAGCTTAGTCCATAAAATATTTTCTGTATTGATATGAAGATTTAAGTTTAGAATCCATATAAAAGACTGCCTAATGGTTATTCATCCCATCCTTGGAGAATCAAATGGCGGAGGGTTCCTGGGACTTGCTGACCAGTGAATAACTATCTTAAAAATTAAGATGGGGAGAAATAGATGAAGATATAGAGTGTCACCTTCTGTTGGCCACAGACCCACACAGCTATGCACATGAGCCTGCACTTTAATGTGAACAACACAAACATGTACACAACCTACACATATGTCAAGTTGATGGAAAATACCAACGTATAACAATAAAGATATTTATAGTTCAATAGGGCACATTTTGTTCCTTGAGAATTGTGGATCACTTTTCAGAAAGGCCATCACATTTATTCATCTGAAGAATGAGTAAAAAGATCTTTACTTACAGAGTTATTTTTTAAAATCAGAAAACATATAAAATATAAATTGTGTCACTCATACTAACATTAGAAGAAATACATTTCCACATATTTATGGAATAGGCATGTTTAATTATTTATCAGTAATGATTTTCTCGGATATTCTCTGCTTTGCTATAAAATTTCAAAAACTACTTCTCTCCCCTAGCCAATAAGTCAACATGATGTTTGAATACACTGTAATATTCAGGGTGATAATATTTGTTTCTCTGAGATATTATTTTGGTGGGAACATAATAATAACACAGTAATGCATAAGTTCAATATTTTGTAGGAGGCAAACTTGCCTGAGAACATAAAATTTCAAAGAATCTTTATTGACTGCAGCATTTACATATTTTTTTGCTGAGAAACAAAATAAATAAATAAATAAATAAAGAGAATCCCCGACAGGGCCCCAAACTTAAATGAAACGAGGAAAATACTACACTTCTTATTCTGTGTTGTTTTGTTATAGCAGAATATCATACAATGGGAAAATTGTAAAAACAACAAACAAGAACTGTTACAGTGCTACTGCATGGGGAGTCACTGAGCTACCATCTGGGAATGACCTTTGTGCAACATCATTCATGGCAAACAGTAGTTCACGGCAGTGCCAGAGAGCGTGTGAACCATGAGACAAATGGTGGCCTCATTGTATGCATGAGTACACTGCCAGTATACTGATCTGTTCCTATGATAATGGTATTAAACCCTGTTATTGCTTATTTGGTCCCACTTCCTCATTGCATTTTGTGTCAAGTTTTCAAAATTGGAAATTTGAAGAAAATATTCAAGCTATAGTATTGCTACAAGACACAATTAAGAAAGAGAAGTATAGACCAATTTCTCTCATTAATGTTGGTGCAATAAAATTCTAGCAAATAGAATCCAAGAAAAATCATTCACCATGATGAAGTTGGCTTCATCACAGGCATGAAAGGATGGTTCAACATACAAAAATATATCTGTGTAATTCACAATATAAACAAATGCAAAGGAAAACCACATGATCATCTCAATGCTGAAAAAGCCTTTGAGAAAATCCAACACCCCTTCATGATAAAAGTCCTGGAGTGGTCAGGGATGACAAAAACATACATGAACATAATAAAAGCATTATACAGTAAATCAATAGCTAGCATCAAACTAAATGGAGAGAAACTCAAAGCAATTTCTCTAAAATCAGGAAGAAGACAAGGCTGTCCACTCTTTCCATATCTCCTCAACATTGTACTTTTACTTAGAGCAATAAGACAACAAAAGGAGATCAAGGGAATACAAATTGGATAGGAGGAAGTAAAACGTTCACTATTTGCAGATGATATAATTACAGTTTACATATGAGACACGAAGAACTCTACACGGGAACTCCTACAACTGATAAACACCTTCAGCATAGTGGCAGGATACAAGATTAACTCAAAAAAGTCTGTAGCCCTATTATATACAGATGATAAATGGGCTGAGAAAGAAATCAGAGAAACATCACCCTTTACAATAGCCCCAAATAGCATTAAATATCTGGGGATAGCGCTAAGCACGCAAGTGAAAGTCCAGTATAGCAAGAACTTTGAGTCCTTAAAGGAAGAAATTAAAGAAGATACCAGAATATGGAAAGATCCCCCATGTTCTTGGATAGGTAGCATCAATATGGTAAAAAAGGTAATCTTGCCAAAAGCAATCTACAAATTCAATGCATTTCCCATCAAAATACTAGCACAATACTTCACAGACCTTGAAAGAACAATAATCAACTTTTTATGGAAAAACAGAACACCCAGAATAGCCAACATAACCCTGTACAATAAAGGAACTTCTAGAGGCATCAACATCCCTGACTTCAAGCTCTATTATAGAGACACAGTCCTGAAAACAGCTTGGTATTGTCTCAGAAACAGACAGTTAGACCAAAGGAATTGAATTGAAAACCCTGATATTATCCCACACGCCTTTGAACACTTGATTTTTAACAAAGAAGCTAAAATTATACAATGGAAAAAAGAAAGTATCTTCACCAAATGGTGCTGGCATAATTTGATATTGGCATGTAGAAGATTGCAGATTTATCTATGTCTATCACTGTGCAAAAAACTTAAGTCCAAAGATCTCAACATAAATCCAGCCACACTGAATCTCTTAGAACAGAAAGTAGTGGCTAATCTAGAATGAATTGGTACACAAGATCATTTCCTGAACGTTAACACCAGTAGCACAGACACTGAGATTGACAATTAACAAATGGGACCTCTTGATATTAAGAAGCTTCTGTAAGGCAAAGGACTCAGTCAACAAGACATAAAGGCAGCCCACAGAATGAGAGAAGTTATTCACAAACCCCATATCTGACAGAGGGCTGATCTCCAAAATTTACAAAGAACTCAAGAAGCAAGTCTCCAAAACACCAAAGGATCCAAATAAAATGTTGGGCCTTTGAGAATGGCTGGAAAATTAGTGCCCCATGCTCATGAAAGTGACTGATAGTCTAATAAAACAACACTGACTTGATTCATTTTCCATGTGAGGACAAAATCAGGCATGTGATTGGTTCACAGACTCTATTAATCGTTATGAAATTCTGAGCCTTGATCTTAGATTTCTCCGTGCTGAGAAGTAAGATACATAAGTTTTTGTTTCTCATAGTAGTTAGCACTTACAAGAAAAGATAAAAAAATTATAAAAAATTTGACTACAAGTATCTTTATGATGAGCTTTGATAATAAGTTCGATGGACATTGTGAAAAACTCTAGTTGTGCATACTACAGTAAAACAAAATATCGGAAAAAGGCAATTAATAGAATAAATAGGAATAGTGAAGAAGAGGATGATTGGTGAAAACACCTCGAGAAAAGTATGACTACCTGTGACCCAACGGTCAATAATGAAGTAAATGTATGGGGAGGTAGATAGAAATATGTGTAACAAAATCAAGGAGTTAGCTTAAGTTTCTGAATACCTAATGGAAAAAAATACATGAAAAACACAACTCACAGAGTGTATGTACAGAAAAACTGAAGGACATTCATTATTGAGGAGGCTGTGCACAATTCAAGAATCCAAAGAAGAACAAGGGGAGAGCTGGGAATTGCTGAAGTGTGCTTATAGTAAGAGCCTTAGAGATTCACAATTATCTAGAGGTCACAGAGGTGGATTAGAACCTTCCTTTCTTCCAGTTTAATGCAAATTTCATGCTTGTTTGAATAACTTATTTGTGGAAAGTTTGCATAGTTTTTTCAGATAAGCCATTCACAATGGTTTTAGATAATGTTTATCGACTTGTCTTATTTATTTAACAATAAATATGGAGTCATGGAAAGCAGAAACCTTTTCCAGTGAGATCTTTTATTTGTTCAAGGAAAAGTAGAAAGCAATTTGTTTCTTTTTCCACTTCTAGTTCAGAATCCCTTTCAAATAAAAATATTTTCACCAAACTGCTTTCAGGACTGTTTGATGTAATTTAGATCAGTTGTTCAGTAGCACTTCCATTCTAAAGAGAGAATCTTTACTCCTCTGTTTTCATTGTATTTCCCCCATTAATTCTGTAAGCCTCCTAGAAATTTCCTAATTATGATTCGTCTTCCTTTATCCATACCTCCCTGATAGTTGCCAATAAATGTTCATTCATCACTCTAACCTGGTTTGTCTGAATAACTGTCTTTCAAAAGAAACAAAATGAACGGCCTCTTACTATATCAAAATCTTTCTTCCTCTGCAGAATGTGCAGAATGTGTGTGAGAATATTGTTGACCTCCCTTCTATTATCACATGGGAGTTGGGTATAATGTTACCACTAACAGTGGATATCATAGTAATATACCACACAAAGAAAACTGCAGAGAATTGTAGTTGTATCCTTGCAACAGCCACCCCAGCCACCTCTATGATTAGCACAATTTTCTAGATGAGAAAATAAGACTTTAGTGTAGTTGAGTAAACTGCTCAAAGTCTACCTAATACATAGCATAATCAAGATTTGATATCATCAACCCAAATTGAATTCACCAAGAATAGAATTTCTCTTTTCCTATCTGATTCTTCATACAGACAACATGGACAAATTATTTGCTTGATGCTATGGAAATACTGTTACATGCTCTGAAAGCTATGTATCCTGAAAACACCATATAAGGTAAGCTTGCCTAGTTATGTGACTTCCCCCACAAAAGAGAAAACTGAATATTGCAGGATATGCATATCCCCCAACACTTTACACAGATTGGCATGTTTTTCCATGAAAGACATCAAATCACATTCAAAGCAAGTAGATATGAGAGCATGGTGTGTGCATGAATGGCTTAGCATCCATAGGAGCTTGCCCTTTCCCACAACCAAATATGAAGTGAGCATTAGACCTGATGTTGTAGCTCAGTATCCTAAACTCCCTGTGTTCAGGTAACTTCTCTGACATAGAGAATACTGATTTTTTCCAACAATTCCCTATACCTACTTTTACTAAATGAATAGATTCATGAGTTAACATTTCTGGAAATTAAGAAACACCAAAGTTCCAAATATCATGATACACATTGCCCCCAAAAATGAACAAAAAAAACAAAACAATAAACAAATAAAAATAAACATTGCCACCGGAAAGAGGTGGCACACGCCTTTAACCCCAGCACTCGGGAGGCAGAGGCAGGTGGATTTCTGTGAGTTTGAGGCCAGGCTGGACCAACAGCCTCCAAAACAACACAGAGAAACCCTGTCTTGAAAAACCAAAAATAAAAAATAAAAAATAAAAAAGTAAACATTGCCAGGTCTATCAGAGCAACATCCTATTCTGATACCAATTTATATTCTGATTTGTTTCTACTGCTGTGATAAACAACATGACCAAAAGCAACTTTGGAAGACTGAGTTTATTTCATGTAATCATTGTAGTCCATCTTTGAGAGAAGCCAAAGCAAGAACTTGATACAGAAACCATAGAGGAACACCATTTTCTCACTTGCTTTCTATGGCTAGCTCAGCTTCTTTTTTTGTACCCTCTGATATTGAATATTAATGAAAATGTTACCCCACAGACATCCTACCAGGCCATTCTGATGGAAGCCTTTCTGCAACTGAGTTTCTTTGGTGGCTTTATCTAATTATCAAACCCTAAACAGCAGAAGTACCTAGAAAAGTATAATGACAAAAGAATTATTGGAGAAATGAGTAAGTTTGACTGTTATAAGCAAACTAACATGAATTTGACTTTTATAAACAAACAAAATAAAAACAAACAGTTGTGGAATGGAGAGATGACTCAGTGATTAAGAACACTTGATGTTCTTTCAGAGGATTCCCTTGGATCATTGAACCTACACCAATTGGCTTCCTCTATAGATCTTGTGTTTCCATCCTCTTTGTTCTCTACTGACACCACCATATGCGTTCAAAGAAAGGCAAAAACATATCCTTACATATGAATTAAAACAATTTTTTAAAAAATAAAAAAGATCTATACTGAGGAAAGAATATATGTTATGTAAAATTCTTTAAGTAGAAATTAAATAAGTAAATGCAATGAAAGAAAGGAAAATCAAATGGGACAATTCAGAGTTTGAGAATGGAATTTTCATTTTCTGCTTTAAAATATTTAATATTTGAAGAATGGTTTTTCATTCAGAATGTTTGATTTTGTATTTCAAGTCAGTATACAAAGAATTTCACAGTATACACATTACTTTCATATCGATTATCTCATTTGATCCTCTTCACAACCTAAGATAAGTCCATTTACAATCTTGAGATAAACACCAAGGTTAATGATTTAGCCTCCATTTTCATAAGCAAATTACAAAGTTTCTAGCTATCGGAGATCACACATTCTATAATTATTGACTAACTAAGCATTGTTATTAAGACCATATTATCATATCCAATTTACAAATGGAGCATGACATTAAGTATAATTCAGAGTGATTAGGAAACATAAAGTTACCTAGCATTTAATACCAGCCCAAAAATGCCGTAATATTTCAAATATTTAAGAGAAAAGACAGTTATCAGGGGAAATATGTACATGAGTTATTACTGCTAATGAGTTAATGAAATAATAATGATCATTTTACATTGGAAAATTATAACAAAATAAATTCACTTTGATGATATTGAAAGTGAAAAGAGTGGGCTGACATGTTTGAACATCTATGGAAAAGAACAATCAGAAATATTCTAAAAAATTAAACTGACTTGAACTTGATAGGGGGCAAGAAAGAATGTAATATGAACTGTGAAATGCTAGTTACTGGAAATTTCCCTTTACAACAATGGTAGAACTCCTCTCAGTTAATCACTTGAAACAACTCCACAGAGTTGCCATGAGGTGTGTCTTCTAGAGTCTTAACAATCCCATTGGGTTAACAGTTCTCAACCTTGCCAAGGATGTAAAGACATCAGCAGGGCATATCTTCCCTAGGATTCACCCCATAACCACAGTAAATACCCATCATTCCTACACCTTGAGGAAGCTTACATACCTACACTGTGAGAAATATAGAAACATATTTCCATGTTATTTTTTTCCTGTCAGGTCACCAAAACAACCAAATTTTGATAAGTTAATTAAGATAATCCTCTTAGTTTTTATGTAGAGGGACAATTCAGAGGAGTAGTGAAAAATTCTGACTCTCAGATAACAAACCAGCAGAGACAGCAGAGACAGCTGATCTGAACAGGGGAGAGCGCTTGGACCCCAAACCGACAGTGGGGAGGCCAGCATAGGACTGATCCGGATCCCCTGAATGGAATGTGAGTGTCAGTGAGGAGGCCTGAGCAACCTATGGGGCCTTGAGCAGTGGATCAGTGTTTATCCCTGGAATACAAACAGACATCGTGTGTCCATAGCACAAAGAGTGATGCTCTCTCAGCCTGGATTCTTAGGGGAGTGCCTGGACCCTACCCCGAGTGAAATGACAGACTCTAGATATCCCCTATGTGGAAGGAATTGGCAATAGGGTGGGAGGCTGGGGAGGAATGGGGAATGGGGGGTGCAGGAGGAGGGGAGGGAGAGGGAACTGGGATTGACATGTAAAGCAAGCTATTTAAAATTAAAATAAAAAAGTAAAAAAAAAGAAAACAAACAATGAATTATCCAAATATTGCAGGTGTTGTTCTGAGGAAATTTTATCTATAAGAAGAATAATGAAGAAAATTGTTGTGTAATTTTTCCCTTGGTATATGAACAAAGATTATCTTTGAACTGGAGTCAGAAAATCAGAAGTCATTGTGAGAGAGTAGAAATAATGTACTACATACCTGTCTGGAGAAAATGGGTACAATATGTAACTCTAGAACTAATCACAAATATATTTATGTTAAGTCCCTTCATAATTGGATCTAATTACAATACAGAGAGACAAAAAAAGGCTACTGAATCCCAGGCTGACCCTAATGAAACAACAAAAATACCCTGGGACAGTTGCCAATGTCTTTCATTACCAGAAAGCAAATAATTGAAATGTTACTGTATAAGAGGTTGCAATTCATAACCTTTCCTTTCCCCATGTATCCTTTCCAGGAAATTGAAGGATGCCTATGACTTAATGAGAGATAAAGGGAATGTGTTCTTTAGGCTTGAACATTTCTAAGAAATCTAGATTTGCTCAAGGGTAATGAAGATTAAAGGTACAAACAGTCTACAGTGACCACATGGAAAACAAATCCCCACATCCTTCTTGTGACAATATTTAATATAGAATGTTTTAATACTAGTTTGATTATGTCTAGTATGTCTGGAAATGATCTCATCACTTGGAAAGTCATCTTTGCTTGCACTGTCACTTGAAATCAATTTTATAATTGGAAAATCAATATGGTTTTTCCAATTACTTTTCTATTTTATGTAGTATCCCGATGAATGACTTCAGGAAGTATAGCTTTTTTCCCCTTTGTTTCAATTACTAGCATGTGCCTCTGAAAACAGCTCACATAGCAGTTGTTTTAGTTTCTCAAACCGACATTTCTGTCTGTGGATATTGGTATTACATTTTTGAGCAGTAGTCTGAAATTAATAATAATAATCACAAACTGTGCTCTTAAAGGACAGAAAAATAAGCATGTCATGGAAATAAAGGCCTCTGATATTATAAAAACCTAATAAGAGATGTGCTTAGATTTATCATCTTGTTGAGGAATTTAATAGTCTATCGTCTTGAAAATTACAAAGAAAGAAAAATTTTCAATTCCATTTCCTTCTATCATTGTTCTCTTCTATCATTGTATTGAGGTCTTTGATCTGTTTGTAGTTGAATGATGAGCTTGGTTCTATTGGATTCTTTTACATGCAACTATGCAGTATGACCAGAACCACCTGTTGAAGACACTCTTTTTCCCAGTATTTTTGGGCTTCTTTATTAAAAATAAGTTTTCATTTAGTGTGTGGATTATGACTTGTCCTTCTGTTTAATTATACTGATAGATGTGTTTGTTTTGTGCTAATATAAATCTGTTTTTATAACAGCTTAGTACAACTAGATATTGACGATAGTGAGCACTTCAGCAGTTCTACAATTGTTCAGGCTGATTTTAACTATTCTGGCATTTTATTTTGTGTGTGTGTGTGTGTGTGTGTGTGTGTGTGTGTGCGCAACTGTGTGTGTGTGTGTTTCCATATGAAGTTGAAGGTGTTGGTGTCTGTTGATGAACTGTGAAGAATTATGCTGGAATTTTCATGTGGATTGCATTGAATCACTAGCTTGCTTTTGGTAGAAGGACCATCTAACTACATTTATCTTACTGAGCTATGAGAAAGGAAGATCTTTACATCCTCTGATATCTTCTTCAATCTATTTTTTCAATGTGCAAAAGTTTAAAATCATACAAGTCTATCACTTAATGGTTACAGTTGTCTATGGGTAGTTTATATTATTTGGGGCTGTTGTGAAAGATATTGTTTCCCTGATATAGTTCTTTGTCCATTTGTCCCATGCGTATAAGAAGGGTACTGATTTTTTTTTAATCCAGATAGTTGGCTAAACGTGTTTATCAGCTTTAAAAGTTTCCTAGTAGAACTTTTTGGATCATTATATACACTATCATTCCATCTACAAATAAAGATATATTTACTTTTTCCTATCCAGTTTGCATTCTCTTGATCTACTTCTGTTGTCTTATTGTTTAGACCTCAAGAAATATACCGAATTG